GAAAGAAAAATCGAGGGTCTCCTGAGGCGTTTACTCTCGCCACAACTCTTTGCCGTCGGAGAGCCCAGCCAGGCCCCGCCCCGCCACGCCCCAGCCGTACGCAACAGCGGCACACCTCTCGGGCACGCCCGCAGCATGCACAGCACGGGGTGTGGCGGGGCGGGCGTGAGGGTGGGCTGCCGTTCCCTTTGGCCCGCGGTGGTGGTGACGGGCGCGGCCCGACCCGATCCGTACGCGACGCGCGCCCGACATCGTTTTCGGCGCCCGGCCCGGTGGCGCCCTCCGGGACGCGGCGGCGGATGGCACGACGTCGCCAATGACACAATGATGATGAGGGCGGCGGTGTCGCAACGCACAGGACAAGGAGACGCGCTGCCGGCTGGCTGCTAAACTTGGTTGTGCATGACTGAGACGGACTGAGGTGAGAATACAGAACTCTGTAGGAAAACCTTTGTTTTAATTAATTTTCTAGTTTTTCCATGTGTTTTGAATATGCTTGTATGTGACATGATTTGGGAAACTTTCCCTCTTTTGTCTCTTTAGGCGAGACGAATCGCAAAAGTTGTATGTCCTTCGCTCTACGACAAAATTTTTGTCAGCATGGACTAAAATGAAATTTAGGAAAGAAATTCGTAAATTTACGGGACGAATCCTGCCTAAATGTTAGCAGCCCACTCACCTGCTATCTGTGGGCAATCCAATAAAAAATGTCATCCGTCAACCAATCATGCGCACCTCAACATGACTCAACATCGTCTTTAAAGCCATCAACGTTGAGTTTTGCGTAGAACTACGACTCCTTTTCTGGGTTTCATACACTTATTTTTCTTCAGTGGACGACTAGGTTTTTCGAGTGCACTTCCGGTCTGGACGTGGTCCTATACCCGTATGCCGGACGACAGCCAGACAAAAGGATGACCACACACCTGCTACGGAAACTTTTTGGCAGCGATTCGTTTGGACAGAGAAAGAACGAGGAGGAGGGGAGCGAAAGTTCCCGCGAGGAATGAGGAAGAGGAAAAAAGAAGACGTGAGCGACATGGGCTAACTCGGCACGGCGCACATACCGGCGAGGAGCGCGGCGGGGCGGCCCGGTGAAAAGAGCTCGTCGAGTCATAACTCGAGAGATCGACTTGGAAACAATTCAACAGCAGGTCGATCCGAACGCAACACCCTGCTGCTGCTGTTCACCTCCTCGGCCAGTGGAGCCCTCCTGAAACGCAGTGTGGAGGAGGCGGGCCGGGGCTGGTCGGTCGAGACAACGCCCACCTGTGTAGTGCGGTGCATATGGTGAGGAGGGAGAGGGAGGAAAGGGAAGGGAAGGGGCGCGGAGACGGCGTGGCGTGGCCCGGCGTGGTGCACATTCCGATCACTCCCACACCGGGGGGGCACCGCACCGGGCACCGGGCGGCGGCGTCCTGCACCAGAGAGTGTGGCGGTCGCTGGTTGCACCGCGGCGATCGCACACCGAGCCGATTCTCATTGAATTCGACCTTCTCTCTCTCTCAAGCGTTTACTCTAGAGACGCGCCCACAGGAAAGGCCCACCCAACAACACCCCACGACGCGCTCGCCTCGCCGCCGGCCGAAGCAGTCAGACACTTTTGAATGTGCCTCTCACTCATTTAATTTTTGGGTACACCTCGGGTTACCCTTTCAACCACGTCTCACTCGTCACATATAGGCCTGGGTCGGCCCGAGCAGCCCCCCACCCTCCCCTTTTCTAATCAACCAGCGGCCTCCGTGCTCGGCGGCGGCGCCCTGCTCGCGTGGCCCCAGGGTGTCGGCACGACCTTACCGATTACATAAATACGGCGCTGCGACGCTCAGGCAGCAGAGGGCTCCGGGGAGGTTGGAATGGCGCCATCGGCGGGCATCGCGCGCGCCGTATTGGAGCCGCCGGAGACGAGCTCTGCGCCGTAAAGTAAAGGAGCCAGTAGTAAGTTGGTGAGAAGGGTCCTTGCGACACGGCAGTGCAGTGCGTACGTGCGGCCAAAGCCAATTACACAAATGAGGCGAGAACACCACCACCCTTTCGAGTGGTAAGCTCAGCAGCTTGATCCCTTTCGGCAGGTGGTGGTGCTAAACAGGCTGGCTGATGAGAGTTGGTGTGTCGACACACAATGACTGCACCGCCTAGGTGTGCCACCCGCATGGAGGAGAGGGTGACCACAAGTGTAGTAGCAGTTCCCTGCTACTCTGTTATACTTCTATACTATATTCGGCTGTATACTCTTTAAGTATATTTAAAGCATAGCAGAATCAGGTCGGCACTGCACTCACTTCGGCTACTTGGAATTTTTGGTATAGATGTGATAAAAAGGAGAAACGGCAACTAAACATAGGAAAAGCGCGCAGCGCACTCAGCTCCGCGTGGTTGCAAAGTAAGACGAAGCGGGGTGCATGCTTTCCTCTTTCGTAGTCATTCTGTGCCGAATGCACTCGTGCGGGCGGGTTGCCTACTCCTTCGAGGCAAGGCCCTACGGGCACAATGGCAGGCAAACTTTGGCTTGTTCACGTGTATAAGGCACAGGATTGTGCTGAATGAATGAGACACACATGGTTTGGTAATTATTAAATATTGAAAAGTAAGCAGATCACTGACTGTTTTAAGGAAATACTTTTCACTAAATAAGACAGGAAATGAAGCGTTGGTA